TTCCGACATGACACATCCGGATATACCTTATAAATCATAAATCATAAATCATGAGTATTTGTGGTATTTTCACCCAAAAAGATTAAAAAGGTACATGACAAACAAACACTGTTTATTCTGCATTTTTGCGTTCCTAAAATGGAATAGACTGGGGTTGTACAGGTTAATAAAGGTAAGCAATGCTGTGTAGTGAAGGAACTATTGTTAGGCACCGGCTGGGTGGAGGCATATGCCCCCCCCCCCCCCTTTTAGAAAAGTCTACCTTTTTATGTATGTCAGAGTGCACCAAATCAATTCATTTTTCTAAAATTGTCTTGAGAGAACTCTCTAAGACGCTTTCGACTATGACGTCACCACAGAGTAGCCAAAATTTGAATTAAGCCTCAACAGTTGTCCCCCCATTGAGTAGGTAGGTAGATGACAAGTTAACGTTCGCTTCCAGCGGGTGCTGATATCGCAAACTAGGTAGTTGTTGGTTGTCGTAGTAGTTGGTAGTTGGATTGGATCAAATTGGATGATTCGGTGTTGTTGGTTTGGTTGTTGATTCTTCGTTAGATCTGGTCGGGTCGACTGACATGGCGGTGAAACTCGGCCCTGGATGGTGTGGCGTGAGTTACTCGGTCTCCTTCATTCTTCCAAACTCGTTCTGATCATGGTATTTCTTGTTGATTGGTAGTCGAATGGTAGTCGTTGGTTTGGTTTGGTTAGATTATCTGTTATCCCATTGAGTTAGTCTGAGCCCTATTTATACCCCCAGTCTCGGAAGGCTGGCGTCACCACTGTTGCTAGGACAATTGCATTGGCCTTTCTTCTCTGGATGGCTAGTTTTAAGGAGATTGTAAGGTGCGCGGCCATAAGAACACGTTCCAAGGTTTACCATAAAAGTTCATGTATACTGTAGATTATTTGAAAATGTGCCATCTTGCGCAACCGGGTGAACCGACATCAGACCATTACTTCATCTGTCCTCGAGACGCTGCTTAATACCATTTAATACTGAAAAGATCAGCCTGTAACTTCCTACTTCTTAAAACGAGATTACCTACTTCAATCGCCATCTTTCTTTACCCTAATATCTGTCAGACGTTGTTATTGACGAATCGAATTTGTCAGTAGCCGCGATCCTATTAGCACCGACATTAATGTTTTACATGGTCAATGCCCGATTGTATAAGAGTTTAAGATTAGCTCGGACATTTTCAGCCATGACAGTTGACACGTGTACTGGTAATTCCTATCAAGTCAGTGATCGCCTTTTCACTACCGAGCAACAATCTTTGGTTGAACTTTCATGGCCTTTCACATAAAGTATTCGTAAAATCAATCAAATTATCGTTTTGCTAATTAGTTTTATCTTATTTGTACAGCATAAAGTTAACTGGTAATTAATCGTGTCATCGACTTTTCACTACCGAACAACAACCCTTTGTTGCATTTTACTGTCGTGGCTTGAAACTCTCTATGTTCGAACAGAATAACAGTTACAACTTACTGCATGGAAGAAAATATTAGCTGTATAAATTGTTAAACCGAATAATTGATTATGTTTTAAGTCAATGAACAAAAAGAAGCGAATTCCTCACATGTCAGTCGTGTGATGACTTTACACTACCGAACAACAACTCTTGGTGTGCTTTATTGTCTTGGATTGAAAAAGTTTGATTTCACAAAATTGTCCTTTGCACAACGTCAACAAAAAACGAAAGAAATCAGAAGGTTGTATATCATTTTAATCAACCTAATTGATTAGCAAACATTTTACAGTTTTCATTAAAGTTTGAAATCTGGGTTCCGTATCTTTTGTTATCTTTTTTCCTCTGGGCAATGAAATATATGGAATAAAAATAGGACCTGTGCTAAAATTAGTTTTCGAATTAACAGATCATGGAGCGATTCCATTAACACTGTAAAACGTTTTTCATATATATGAATGAAAATGGTGTTGAAGTTAACACCGTCGGATGGCTATATATAGATAACCATAAAATATGGTTTCTATTATAAATGGAAAAATAGCCTGACAAAGTCTCAGAAAAAATGTGAAGGACAAAATTTGATTTGTTAACAGCTTTCACACATATCGATACGTTCTATTAGCCGCCATCTTGGTTTCCAATATTAAACGACCTTCACCTTGTAATGAATACAGTTCGATATTTTTACGCCAATATAAAAGATTATTAGACTAAGAGATGGAACAATTTGATTTTTAGCCAATCCCTGAGGACATTCAGTATAAATTAAATTCCTTAACACTAATACGGTACACCGATATGAGAATATTTGCTCGTGAAACTCGTCTATGATCCATATTTGGCTGTCATTAGGGAGACGTAGTTATATAAATTCCAACAAAACAGATTATACAACCACGTATTTAGCTATCTGCATGAGTAGATAAATATGATACATTTACTAGTCCAACAAATCTTAAAGATCTTTACAGTCCTGAAAAGATGTTTCCGGATGTTATCGATGGAAGGAAGCGGAAATAATGGAGTGTGAGATGGCCATCTCCATCGTTTAAATCAGGTTTAGCTATTTTGAAGAAGAAAATGAACTGATACCCTCTACCCTCGAAGATATATTCCTACATCAACAATGTGAGTACATAAGTCATAGCGTTATGGACGTAGCGGTAAAGGTGAAGCGTTATGGGTGAAGCATTCAGAACGTAGCGTTATTGACGTAGCCTTATGGGTGAATCATTATGAACGTAACGTTATGGACGTAGTGTTATGGACGTAGCGTTATAGGCACCATAGTGTTATGAACGTGCCATTATGAACGTAGCATTATGGATGCAGGCTATGGACGTAGCGTTATAAGCACTGCATTATAGACGTATCATTACGGATGTAGCGTTATAGACGTAGCGTTATGAATGAAGTGAACCAAACGAAGCGTTATGAACGTAACGAAAAAAGGCAGCTGTTACTATGTGATATGATATTTTCTGAGTTGAATTATTTATAACTGTCTTCTAACATAAAACTCAGAACTTCAATAAAAATGTCATTTATAAGTGTGTCAGAGACGTTATAACAATTTCCATCTTTGGCGATTGAACCAATAATGATTTTAATTTCAAAGTTCAGACAATGGCGGTTATTTGACCTGATGAAAATATGTAGGCTACAAAACTTCATCAGTATAAGTTTCCATTTTTCCGCTTTTGTAATGAATGGTATACAGAATTCACCTCAAATTTTGCTTCAGAAAAAAACAAACCGACTATTACATACGTAAACCGTTTTCTTAGCCGTTTGACTGAAAGTCCACCTAATAATAGTTTTTCGTTTTTTGTGTTTGTATAGTTCGTTCGATAACTGAATGATAATTAATCTTGAATATGAATACCACGTTTTAATGGAACATTTGCCGTTGTACTTCTACTCTCTGAATTCGTCCATCAATTCAGCATCCATTTGAGAGAGTTCACATAGCGTGTGATGCTTATTTAGCCAATACCTAACCCCAGCCAACCTATATATCAATATAGCAACCGTTCATTTACTAACTAATGATATATCTTGTACGTGTATATCATTTTTGAGTGTAATATGCCAGAAATAAACACCTATTTTACAGAATTCCCACTGTTACGGAAACACGGATCGATAAATTGAACGCCGACAATTCTATGTTCTATTATTGTTCTGTTCAAAACACAATGCTGTCATTTCTAATTGTAAAATACATTTATTTGCTTCTTCCGTTATTTCGCTTTAACGCAATAATGACTTTTTAACGTAGAAACATAGATAAATGTTTAAAATACAATTCATCAATTAGGGTTTTGTGTAGATTACCATCAATTCTGCTGTGGAAAATTTTCGCACGTTTTATAATTACCTTTCTGTTCTGTAATTTTTAAGGTATTTCGCAACCACAATTAGAAAGTTATTTGCAAGTATATTGCATTGGATAGAGAGATTTTTCTCTTGCCATGACACTTGGGGGCTTGTTTCATTAAATCTTAACTAAGATATATTCAACATTTTAAGAAACAAGATAATCCAAAGACTTTTTAGCTGAATTTCAAGTCTGTATCTTAAGAATTTTGCGAAGTAATATCGGCATTTAGGCATGATATCTTATTATGACGTTACAAGTATAATAACGTCACACTCGCAGATTTTACTTTTCAAAGTGAAAGTCACGCTGCTAGTCTTCAGAGAAAAATCACTGAAATTTTAGCAATTTCAACATATTCTGAAAGAAAAAGATGACTATTCTGTAAGTATTTTTTATTCTTAATCTTCCCCCCAAACCATCGGTGTTGTAATTGCAAACGAAAACCAACATGGGGTGATTTCAGTTATGACTCTGTCCTTCACTTTCAGATACTATTATTAGACCAGTGCATCTGAAACAACATCTGAAAAGAATGGTCGATTTGTTGATCTTGAAAATTCTTTTAAAAATTGAATTGAAGATATAACATTGACCTAGCCTTAAGAAGGGGTACAGACCATACATCAAGCGTACAGAATGTAAAAAAAACAAAAAAAACAATGCGATTGATATCCTTTCTCAAATTACAAATAGGATGCTATATTCTCAATTCATCCCAATACATAATCAGAGTGAATCAAAGCTAATGCACAATATTGAAGTAAATTGAAACTTTTATTCCGGCCAAACGGGCCTAAATTCCAGATATATTTTCAAAAACCACGTATAGTATCAAGCTTGCGTCTATTCTAATCCGTCGTTAGGGTTAATGCGTCTTTTTGATAATAAGAATGACACGTTTTTCATTTCTTATTTGGACAAAATGAGTTACTTTTCGTAGAAAGATGGACTTGGACGATCTTGGGGTTTCCTTGGGGAAATCCACTGTGTCCTGTTCACTTATATCTATTATGACGTCATAATGAACCTAACGTCAAATCGGACTAAAAGTCATTAGCTTTTGGATTTTCAAAGTGAAAAGAAGCGTTTTAACACTGCTCTGAAATATTTTACAAGTTATATTTCTGTGTGGCAGATAAACAATGGCGATCATGTAAGTAAATCAACAGCACTGCCATTCCCAGACATCGTTATTTCATTCTTAAAATCATCAATGGAAGAATTCTTGATTTAAGTTTGAAATTTAATGTTTCTATTTGTAATTTTCAGATTACCAGTTATAAGCTACGTAGTGGATGAGATCTTATTGGAGTTTCTATCAAAGAGCCAATATGGAGACCAACTCTCCGCTAGTAATGGTACGTGTAAATTTTATGGTTAAATTTTTAAAATATCAGTAACCGATTTAGTAACAATATTTTGTTTCTGCGTCTGCTGGTCAAACTTTGGTATTAGTTACCGATTATCCACTTTGAAGGTTGGAAAGAAACTTATTTTCGCAATAAAAGATTTTGTCAATCATACTATTGTAGTAAACAATAAAATATTTTATCTTTTCAGATCTTGGTGCAAACCAAAACAATAACAACAACAACAAAGACGACAATAACAACAACAAGAAATCCTCCCAGGATGAGTTTAAAGAAGATGTATTCAACTGGGCTGATGAACCATGGACTCCCTGTGATGATGTTGAGGTTCCTGACTGGGCCAAGATGGAAGGTAGGTCCAGTTATATGGAATTTTGCCATCCCCCCCCCCCCCTCCTCACCTTGAAATTCAGCCAAACGGATTCGATCTCAAGAAACTTACATTTAATTAAAGGTTTCTTAAATTACCTTTATTTTTTTTCAGATCTGACGACTGACGACTTCCAATCGGAGTTGATATGGGCAGAGGACCCATGGACCCAGGTACCACTCGTTGGTCTTCCATCTTGGATGTTGCTTCCAGGGATCGACTACCCTGTAGAAACAGAAGAACCCGTGGTATATACTCCAGACAATGGCGAAGATGATGCTGCATTTTTAGCATCTGGTATAGATATTGCCAACTGGAGTGACGAACCTTATTTCCAGTCACCTCTAGATGTGCCAATTTGGGCCCTGCTCCCCGGTATTGACTATCCAGTTCGTCATGGATATAACAGCCCCTACTGGACGTATAAATTGAACCAATACAACAGTTCAAGACGAGAGTTTGGAAAGAAAATGTTTGCCAGACAATTACCAACGTTAAGAGAGGAACGGATTTTGTATAACAACAATGGACAGTCCAAGCTGTGTGTACCTGGAAATTTTCAGAGAAGAAATCACAGATTTTAAAAAACTTTTACTATATTTATCATTTTACATTTGGTCAAAAGTAGTCCAATTTTGAAACTATTTTGGAACATTGTCTTTCACGTTATACAGTATATTTATATCATACATTTAACAGAAGCTATCATGTTTATCTTTTGAATGTTTATATTATTCTATTTTGGGGTAATATATTAAAATATATTTATATTGGCATACATACTAATTGTTGTTTTTATCCAACACTTTGACACAAAACACAACTTGCCTAATTCGCATCTGAACTACATACAAATGAGGACAGAATGGGTTTGTGTGGATTTCAGGATGATAATGGCGAAGGATGGCTTATTCATTTATTACAATACCCACACTTGAGCAACTGAGGGTGCTCCCTATTTCACTATATATGCACAAAAGAATGACAATTTTACATATACAGAGGTCATAAAGATCTTTGGAAAACTTTGTGGAAACTTTTCAATACAATTTCCAAATTCGAAATCCCAGCACGCTTCTGATTCGATTTTATTATGACCAATCCCCAACAATCCAAATCTCATCCTGTCAAAATTCTTATGTGTTGTTTCATAATAACCAATTTGAGAAAATTCGATCTGGAGTAAACATAATGAATGAAATGATGGTTCTCCAAATACAATAAGCCGTGAAAAGGGATAATTCTTTTGTGCTTTATCATTAACTTGTCAGGGAGACCAATCGAACGCACGTCATCTGAACTAAATTTAGCGACAATGTGAGTGAGAGAGACTGACCGTCGTCTTTAATGATGAGATAAAAATAATTCTTCCAGAGCTAAATAGTGTTATTATAATCTCTCTATGCAAATACAACACCAGAATATAATTGTCACATATTTGTTGGCCTTTTATTGAAGGAAGTAGACGACTATAATTTTAACAAGATCTTGAACGAATCGGTTATATAATGTCCTTTAGTTCTATCGCTGTTCAATTAGAACATTTGAATCCCATTAGTTCATCTGCCAGTCCCGAGGCCAATGTTATTCTCCATTGGAGATTTTTGCAAAGACGTTCTAGAGCTTGAAGTTACTTATATAAGCAGTATCGGAAATGACATATCGAGTGATGCATTATGGTCTCATTTCCTTATTTCGTCATGCTCATACCTGCAGAAAAGTTACAAATTTCCGCCTGTAGGCTTTACATCGAATCGCATGCTCTTATACTTGCTACAAGAATGTCTGTCAAGAATAGCTGCAAGCCAGACAATAACATTCGACCATTCCAGCAATATTTAAGTCCAATAATTTCATATTGAATATGGTTTAAGCAGGTAAATTGTCATACTCGCACTGCCAGTGACAGGATACAGGATCAGAGCCAACTCCGTTTGTTTGATCCACGTAATGGACAGTCGTTTGCACCAAAGATTTTGAGAACTGAGGGTCGTCTGTAAAGTACAATGAACCTTTAGCCGGTCGATTCGTAGATAACAAGTGAACGTCCGCTTGCAGCTAACTGATATCGTAGACCAGGTAGTTGTTGTCGCATGGCAGGTTAAGGTCCTTTTCCAGCTAATGTACTTTAAGTTTATCGTATTCGCCTCGTGGTTTATGGAATGTACCATCATGAATTTATCGATATCATGTCAATGACGATCATGTCATTACGTTCACGTCATTCATTCATTAAGTCTCTTTCATCTTTCTTAATGACTAGATTGATGACGTCATACAAACCAATAGACCATACCTTCGTTGCAATTAATTAACTCAGCCTTTAGATTTTAATATCGTTAATTGAAAATTAAACGGAAACGTAAACATTGTGCACGGTTTCTGTTTGATTTCATGAATGCTGCTATCTTCCGCTTTTTGTTGCATTAAATAACAGTAAATGTCAATGCTGTATCAATTGGAACCCTCCAAAATCAAATGTATGAAGAAACGGCTTGTGCCATCTGCCCAAGACCGCATCACATCGCTACAAGCAATCAGCAAGCTTTTGATGTCAATGTCACACATTGCTCTCACATACCTTCATCACCTTTTTAATGGCTATCAACCTGCCACGCTTTACTCATACCTTTTTCACCGGATCAAATTATAATATAAAAGATGATACCCCATCACTAACAGCAATAAGGAAACTTTTGATGCCACTGCTAGAGTTTCTAACAAACCTTCAGCCACTCTTGCATACCTTCATCACCTTTTTAATGCCTATCATCTCCTCCCCACTCATCCCACCTCCAAAAATAAAAAGCCGCTCTTACACTTCTCGATCATATATAATCCAGACCATATTATTCCAACACTACTATCTAAAATGACTGATGACACGATCAGGACAATGCCATCCAACTCCCCCGCTACACCTATCCTCCACGCCTCCTGTATTTCTTTCCATAATATTATACCCAATTCCATATTCCGTGAATGGCATGAGTGAATGGAATCTATATCGGTTATGCCGAAACAAGCCTGTTAATTAAAGATCATTCTCGTCTAATTTGGAGTCCTCCTCCAAGGCAAGTCATGGAACTGGGTCAATGACGTCAGAAGCAAGAAATCGGCTTACTAAAGAACCTTTCTAAAGCAACGCGGAAATCAAACGCGAGATTGTATTCCTTTATAGCCAGTGGGTTCAAGTCTGACCAGTAAAGAAAATAAAAGAATACCAAGAGAATATTGAGTTTAAATTGTTTGATAATACGGGCTTGATCTTACGACGTATTGTGGATGTCAATTCTGTCATTTTCTTGTTGAATACGTTTGTGGTGAATTTCGTGCATTCTGGTAGAAAATCGGGCAACGTCAAACTATCTAGTGCATTTATTCAGAGACATGTTCATTGTTGTACTTTTATGCACTTAATGAAACAGTCAGATTCAATTCAAAACCTTGTGATGAATTTATTCGAGACAAGTATTATTTTTCCTCACAGATTTTATACAAATATAAAACTACGACCTGAAAGTTGTTATTCAATTGCCCTGTCCATATATCGATGTCATTCTCAAGGACGATTCTAATAATAATGTCAATGACGTCATGATCTGGCCTGTGGTATTAGTCTATTTATAGAATCGCTGCTTCTATACTACATGATGGTAATAAATTGATTAGATTTTTTATCCTGAAATATTGCTGTGATTTTTTCAAGAGTTTTTCTTGCTTGTGTAGTCCAAGTCTCTGACTTTATATTTTACTCCTGGTTTTTATGCAATATAGTCATCTGATAAGTCCAAGTCTTTGACTTTATATTTTACTCCTGGTGTTTATGCAATATAGTCATCTGATAAGTCCAAGTCTTTGACTTTATATTTTACTCCTGGTGTTTATGCAATATAGTCATCTGATAAGTCCAAGTCTTTGACTTTATATTTTACTCCTGGTTTTTATGCAATATAGTCATCTGATAAGTCCAAGTCTTTGACTTTATATTTGGTTTTGATTCTGTTAGTCATATAGTACAAAAGTTATGTTACTGATAAATAATTTAATAAGTTGTTTGAATTGCATAACTAATCATTAGGATTATTTCCACGATGATCCCCGACCACCAACATCATACAACTGCAAGCTTTTTCAGCCTTGCCTATTCTGCCAGAGTCGCGAAACAGCCTAACCCTTGTTTTCAGTGTCGGAATCCCTGACCAGTATTATTAACTACTGTAGATTTGTCCATCCAAAGCATTTACCATCTCTTTGTCATCATCTCCGACCTGCATCATCAAACGAAAAACCAAATTGAAAGTTATCGGATTAGACTTGAAGGTCTGATGATGACGAAATTTACGCTGTATTTGAAGATTTCCCATGTCAACTTTTCCATGTTAGCCCCAACTTCAAACACCAGATTGAAAGCTCCCCGGACCAGAGCTCATGAAGGCTACAGATTATGACCCACTTGCATCACTGCCTGGATAGCAAGCTTTCCGGACTAGGGCACGATGTAAAGATGATGACGTACTTCACACTGTACGGCTAGAAACAGTGAAAAGGAAGCCCTCAATTCTTTTATTGTTAATATATGTCATTATTATCAAACTACACAGTATAGTCGTGTTGCCGAGAGAAAACGTGTTTAGCTTCCATCTACAATCAACCGTTGCTAAGGAAGCAATTTCAAGACGTGTTTTCACAATTACATGTATTATCTTTATGTACTTTTTGCTTGCCTTACATTTTCTTTTTGACTCAGTTTTTTATATTAAAGACAAACATAGAACACGTTTTTCATGTACTGGCATTGTACTGGGAAACACTGCATCGTTTCAGCTGAAAAGTCAATTTCAAGTGCACGTTTTTGCTATAGGCTTGGACCTATGATTCCAATGATTGCCTTGAGGCCTTCGTCCATAGTTGATATCTACGACTTATATCTTTCAGGCCTGTGTGAATTATCTGGAACATACATGGGACTTAAAATTGAGGGGATGCTACACAGGAGACTTGTATATTCCTACTTCTGGTCTTCTACCCTTGCTAAAGGAAGATGTCTTTCCCACTGTTCTTGAAAAGTTGACAATGGGGTCAATCAGGGAGAGATCAATGCTAAGGTTTGGCCAGGAGCATCTGGTATACAGGATCCTCCTTATAACCTTGTCATCAAAGTATGGTCGTTTCTTTCTGACCAGTGAATGAAACCACATAACTTCTGTGTCCACCATAATTTGTTATTTGTACAATGAATTATTTTTATGGTTTGACTGATTAGCACTCTGGGTTGAACTTTTCATCTCTTCAGAGTGTTCACATACATAATAATGTTTCTTTTGATACCAATCCTACACAAAACATCCTCCTCGGCTCTTATTTGACGCAATTTCCAGGAAAATTTCCACTCGATCTGCGTCTAATAATGAATTAAAAGCATGTGCTTTATGGTTAGAAATAATTCAAAGATCATAAGAACGTTTGACTGATGAAAATAAAATTGATTTGAATGTGCGTGGGTGGTATTGAATGACACTCAACAGACTGAGTTTCCATTGAATTCGTCGAATAATCCAACCCATACGGTCAGGGATATTTG